GCGTAGAAATCGTTGTATCAGCCAAAGTTTGAGCTGGCTTCTGTACGTTAAGGCTTGAGCTGACGTCAGAAGGCCCAGTAGCTCCTGCCACTGTCGTAAGGTTCTCGCCTGAGACAGTGTTGGAGGAATGCATTGCTCAATCTTTATCCACCTGTCGTGAGGTAACGAACATCATCCCCTGACGAGTGTCGAACAGTGCTCCGATGAATTGGAGTTTCTGAGTCTGTATTAGTTCCGATTTCGCGATGTTCAACAGCCACCCTAACTGTCTGAGCAGCGTGGTGGTGAACTGTAGCTGGTGAAGCAAGATGATCGGATCCTGTTGAACCTGGATGCAGTCGTCTATGTAGCTTTCGAAGGTGATCCCTTGAAAGTGGAGGAAGCTCGTTATGGGCTTGGTAATTCGGGTAAAAAGCCAAGGTGCCATGGAAATTCCAAATGGTAGGACTTTCCAATGGTAGTGATTCCCATTGAACACGAAGCGAAGGTACTTCCAGTGTTCTGGATATATCGGAACGTGAAGATAAGCATCCTGAAGATCTAGGCTGATGAGGAAGTCTCCCTTCTTCAGGATGATGCGTAAAAAAGGTTGATCGACACCATCCTGAAGTGAGGCGGTGGAAGCAGGAATCGGGCATTGAACAACTTCATATTGAAGATGAGCCGGAGTTTGTTTGAATTTTTTCTTTGGAACCAAGAAGATGGGGGAGTAGAATCCTGGAGTGACGGGCGATGGACCTAAGAGCTCTATCGCGAGTTTGTCTAATAGTGTACCTATTGTGGATTGCAGAGTCTGAAGCTGGTCCACAGGATATGAGCGATGAGCCGGATGCGACGTCAGAGGTGGACTGCCAATAACGGGTAGCTGATAACTGTGAAGTAGCATGTTGGTGACGTACGGATTTTTGAGGATTCGATGGCGAAGATCTGCAATCTCCCGCCTACTGGAGTGTTGTAAATCAGAACGACTGGGGGCGGGAGGTCCCAGTCGTGCGATTGTCTCAAGCCGTGACTGCTTCCCGGCGCTGGTCCTTGGGCCAGAGTTGGTCCTGGGGGGTCGACGGGAGGAACCACCACGGCCAGATCTGTTTCCTCTGCCACGGCCTTGAGTGGATGCGCCACGAAAAAGATTGCGTTAATCCAGATTGGTAGGGGTGAACTGTGCAGTTCAACGCTGTTTTAATGAGTCCTGGAGCTGTGACTTCTGTATCTTTAACAGTTCAATCGAGACTTGAAAGTGGGTTTCTTTATCAACTTTATTAGATACTATTTGGGTGCTACCATTGAAGAGGGAATCAGTAAACCAAGGCTGGCAAAACAGTTCTGTTTTAAATCGCTCCTCCCATGAAGAGATGTTAAGGGGTCCACGTCGGCGAACAGCAAGAGCGTAGCCCAAAAAATGAGACAACTGATCAAGGATAATTTGGAACTGGTCCTCGGATGTAAGCGTTTTGATCAGAGTAAGTATGCTCCAGAGCAGTGTTAACAGCGTCGACTGCTGCAATCATGCAACTAATAGATGGCAAAGTTTTTCTCACGGCTGAATCCATGTGAGCCAACTCTTGGTCCTCAACAAGGTAGGGCGAAGCAGCTCGTTTGCAACACAGGGTTCCAATATCCTCATCAACTGTTGGAGCCATAGAGATTTTTGTTAGGCCGTGAACATGAAAGGAAGAAGGATTATATCTGGGAGCAGAGAATCCGTCCTTAATTTGTTTCAGACTCTTGAAACCATCATTTAGTGTACTGGATCATTTCAGAATACAAGGTCTATTAGTGGTATCAGAGCAATGATCACCCGAACGTCGGTCAGAGGAACTGTATCGAGATCTCGACGTGGTAAGTACCGAAAGTAGGTTGGTAAGCCAGTGATCTGGATTCCCTAGTATGGCTAGGTGATCCGGTATGATATGAAGAACTAGTCCGGGTCGCTGTAGTTCTAGTTGGTGATCTGGTTCTGATTGGAGCTCAGGTTCGACCATCTGAATAGGATCGGCCATGAGATGTGGATCTATACTGTGATCCCGATTGGTCAATGGCTCTGTAAGGTGATCTAGATCGTATAGGTGACCTGGGTTGGTAAGATGATCTAGATTTGTAAAGTGATCTGGATCGATTCGATGCACTAACTGGAAACTGTGATCATGATCTGGATCTATAAGGTGATCTGGACTGAACAGGTGATCTAGTTTGCAGTTGCGATCTGGCTTGATTTGGTGATATGGATTGGTTAGGTGACCTAGATCGGTCCGGTGATCTGATTCGAGGTTGTGATCTGGATCCATTCGGTGATCTGGATCGGTCCGGTGATCTGATTCGAAGTTGTGATCTGGATCCATTCGGTGATCTGGATCGATTAAGTGATCTGATTCGAAGTTGTGATCTGGACCCGTTTGGTGATCTGGATCAGTTAGGTGATCTGGATTGATCAGGTGATGTTGATCGTAGTTGTGCTTTGGATTGTGACTGTGATCTGGATTGATCCGGTGATCTTGATCAGCACGGTGATCTAGATTGGGCTTGTGATGGCTTTCTGGATCATTGTGGTGATCTAGATCGTTGTGGTGATCTAGAATGATGTGGCAATCTGGATCAGCGATTAGGTGACGAAACCTGAAGTGTTGATTCATGATGAACGTCCCCCGGCGACATTTTGTAGCCAGCTCCGTCCTGTTCAGTGAGACAGTCAAGGGAATATGTACCGATGATCTGGATGATGACAGTGTCGATCTAAGGTCCCCTGGTAGTGTAGATGGGACAGGCAACGAAGAATTATCGATCACAACCACCCGCGAGTGATCTGACGCTATGAAAGGAGGTGATTGATGCGTATGTAATAGGTGCCGAACGTACTCAGATAAGTAAGAATCTGATGAAGCGTCCATAAAATCCTCTTGAACCACAGACGTTGCTCTCTTGCGTGGAGGTACGATTTTCTTGATACGCTTGGCGGGAGTGTGATCAGATTCTGTTGATTTCCTGTCCCTATCGGCGATTCTCCGGGGAGCAAACACGAAGGTAGGCCTCATCTTTTAGTGAATTACACTTGCCACATCGTTTGTTCCAGTTACATTGTCCAATACAGTCACTGCAAGACGAGTGAGGGTCGAGGGACGAATAATTCGTCTTGCATTGAGCACAAACTTTCCTTTTCCTTGACTGATCATCAGTTTTCCCCATGATGTTAGGATGAAATAATGTCCCTAATATACAGCACGTCCACACAGTCGGGCGACAAGAAAGAGAATGATTATTCAAGGTGGTCACGTGGGCAATCAGTGGAGCATGCTGCAAGCGTTATTAGGAACTAGGAAGCTAATTAAGGAGAGCAGCATGAAGTGCACGGGCGAATGGACAAGTAGGCCTATGGAAAAAAGTTTACAGTCGTTCCACTAAAAGTCGAAGCAAGAGTGCGAGGTGCAAGTCGTGAGATAGGATAAGTTTAAAAATTGCATTGTTTCAAAGGGTGCCATGGGACACCAGCCAGATAATTTAGGTGTGCCTTTGTAAAATTAAGTGTGCCTGTACCTTTTGATGATCCAATCAAACTGAAAACATTAGAACAAATATGTCATTTCAATTTATTGTTTGATAATTAATTAATAACTTGTAAACCTGATTTCCTGAACACTAAAGTGACTGCAAGAACAGTTTTGTTTCATTTGTCCTTGACCTCAGGGCATGTTGCCATGGATCCTGCTGGAGGTCAGGGCCATGAAATTTGACTGTTTCAGACATGCATTATTTGCCCGGCAATATGTGGTTTTCAGACACCATCAATGTGATGGGAAACCTATACTCAGTGTTTGCAGCCACACCCAAAGCCTTGATCTATACTATGACTGATCATAAAGTGCCTCTGACATGACATGGTCTCTCTGAGAGGCTCTGGTGGTAGTGATATGACATGGTCTCTCTGAGAGGCTCTGGTGGTAGTGACATGACACGGTCTCTCTGAGAGGCTCCAGTGGTAGTGACATGACATGGTCTCTCTGAGAGGCTCCTTTGGTAGTGACATGACATGGTATCTCTGAGAGGCTCTGGTGGTAGTGACATGACATGGTCTCTCTGAGAGGCTCCGGTGATAGTGACATGACATGGTCTCTCTGAGAGGCTCCAGTGATTGGGACATGACATGGTCTCTCTAAGAGGCACCAGTGGTAGTGACAGGACATGGTATCTCTGAGAGGCACCAGTGGTATTGACATGACATGGTCTCTATAAGAGGCTCCAGTGATACTGACATGACATGGTTTCTCTAAGAGGCTCCAGTGATAGTGACATGACATGGTCTCTCTAAGAGGCACCAGTGGTATTGACATGACATGGTTTCTCTGAGAGGCTCTGTTGATAGTGACATGACATGGTCTCTCTGAGAGGCTCCAGTGATCGGGACATGACATGGTCTCTCTAAGAGGCACCAGTGGTAGTGACATGACATGGTTTCTCTAAGAGGCACCAGTGGTAGTGACATGACATGGTCTCTATAAGAGGCTCCAGTGATACTGACATGACATGGTTTCTCTAAGAGGCTCCAGTGATAGTGACATGACATGGTCTCTCTAAGAGGCACCAGTGGTAGTGACATGACATGGTCTCTCTGAGAGGCTCCAGTGATAGTGACATGACATGGTCTCTCTAAGAGGCACCAGTGGTAGTGACATGACATGGTCTCTCTGAGAGGCTCCAGTGGTAGTGACATGACATGGTCTCTCTGAGAGGCACCAGTGGTAGTGACATGACATGGTCTCTCTGAGAGGCTCCGGTGGTAGTGACATGACGTGGTCTCTCTAAGAGGCACCAGTGGTAGTGACATGACATGGTTTCTCTGAGATACAGACAACCCCGCGTGCCACAGTTTTCCATGAACGGAGCAATTGTTTACATTCTATATATGGTCAAATGTTTATGAATCATAATTTGCATTGTTAAACTACATTGTAGAAAAAATCCCTGTGGAAATGTTTTCTCACCCTACACTACAGTGTTTCTACTTTCAGGTTGGGCACCTACAAGACACTTGAAGGATGTAGTGTGGGGATTGAATTCATTATTTTCAGTAAGTGCCATAGTTGCTCATTTCTTGTCAGGAAATATTATAATAAGTTATGTTTGAATGCAATGCATTAACGTTATTGTGTCTCTAGATTGCTTATGACAATGAAGAACTTGATCACAAGTGATAGCATAGCCTGGCTGACTTTAGTAATTAGCACACACGCCATTTTATGAAAAAGCTGGAACAGGTAAAGAAGTCTGCGAGACATGCAGGTTATACACACAATGGACTAGTACACCATTTCCAAACTAAGTTTGAGTAATTATCTTCCCTCAAGATGTAGTCATTTAAATTACATTCAATTGTACAATGATTTTGCACAACCAACAAATTCTACAGTATTATGATTAACTTAGATTTGCTCTTACTCATGATTAAATGACAATACATACTGTAATACTAAGTAAATCGCAGACAGAATCACATTTTGATAACCCCGGCAGAGGATCATCAGTATTAGGGTTACCCAGAAACAGGACCTCTGATACATGCATGCCTGTGATACATGCATGCCTCTGATACATGCATGCCTCTGATACATGCATACCTGTGATACATGCATGCCTCTGATACATGCATACCTGTGATACATGCATGCCTCTGATACATGCATGCCTCTGATACATGCATGCCTGTGATACATGCATGCCTCTGATACATGCATGCCTGTGATACATGCATGCCTGTGATACATGCATGCCTGTGATACATGCATGCCTGTGATACATGCATGCCTCTGATACATGCATACCTGTGATACATGCATGCCTCTGATACATGCATGCCTCTGATACATGCATGCCTCTGATACATGCATACCTGTGATACATGCATGCCTCTGATACATGCATACCTGTGATACATGCATGCCTCTGATACATGCATGCCTCCGATACATGCATGCCTGTGATACATGCATACCTCTGATACATGCATACCTCTGATACATGCATGCCTGTGATACATGCATGCCTCTGATACATGCATGCCTCTGATACATGCATGCCTCTGATACATGCATGCCTGTGATACATGCATGCCTGTGATACATGCATGCCTGTGATACATGCATACCTGTGATACATGCATGCCTGTGATACATGCATGCCTGTGATACATGCATGCCATGCCTGTGATACATGCATGCCTGTGATACATGCATGCCTGTGATACATGCATGCCTGTGATACATGCATACCTGTGATACATGCATGCCTCTGATACATGCATGCCTGTGATACATGCATGCCTCTGATACATGCATGCCTGTGATACATGCATGCCTGTGATACATGCATGCCTGTGATACATGCATGCCTGTGATACATGCATGCCTCTGATACATGCATGCCTCTGATACATGCATGCCTGTGATACATGCATGCCTGTGATACATGCATACCTCTGATACATGCATGCCTGTGATACATGCATGGCTGTGATACAGGCATGCCTCTGATACAGGCATACCTGTGATACATGCATACCTGTGATACATGCATACCTCTGATACATGCATGCCTGTGATACATGCATGGCTGTGATACAGGCATGCCTCTGATACAGGCATACCTGTGATACATGCATACCTGTGATAAATGCATGCCTCTGATACATGCATACCTCTGATACATGCATACCTCTGATACATGCATACCTACATCGCTTGTAAATTTGGAGACTACAATAAACTGTCAAACTGTCACTGATAAAGACAGGGCTTTGCAGTTTCTTACAAGAGTGTTTAGTGCTGGAATTCAAATTCACCATTCTTGAGAAACTACCTCTAAAACTTCACAAATGACTGAAGGGAACTAACTTAGTCACCCCTGTCGAGAAGTAGCATTCGATATCTATGATACATCATGTCTAAAGTCACGTATATCTGACACCCTGTCGAAAGCTGAATATAACCCCTTTAGAGACTATAGTGAGTTATTCACTGGACCATGTCAAAAGTTCCATATTTTATCCAAATTTGCAACCTCCACTTTTCCAACAGCACTATCGTCACTTGGAATAGTACTTGCTAATATCAATAACATCTGAGCAACATAGATGGAGATAACACCATTGGACTCGCAGCATCTGAAGCAACTGGAGTTATAGGTTCAGAGTGTATCTTCAAGGCCGCCCTTGATAACCTGCAAACAGTTTTGCCTACTGTGAGGTGTCATGAGGCTTGGTCTATTCACACCCAAATTTTTCTACCTGATTTGTATTGTTGATGTTGAAAGTCAGACTGCTGCGGTAACCCAAAGTTGGCCCTCTTTTCTGGAGCAGAAATCAATGTCTTCCTCAACACTACTGTGCGTAAATGTTAGGGCTGGCGAAAAAAGACAGATAATTGGAAATATTGTCAGTAGGATTAATTTCTCTTAATTATAGATACGAAAATAGTGAGTTGAAGAGAGTAGAGTATATGACTGTCTCACTATTACCATCTCAGTGTACATCAACTCATCTATTGTATGAACTCATTCTGCATATTGTTTTAATCACTATCACTCTGTACATCAACCTACTCTGCTCAAATCACTAATTAGTAATCCAATGTATATCAACCTTGTCAATTGTATATACACACTATGCAGCTATATATATATTCTCCATGTTACAACTCTTTGTATCACGTGCTTGATAACGGTGTTAGTACCTGTACCGAAACATCGCACTCATTGCAATAAAGAAGTTGACTATCCATAGAACTTGGTTTTTCTTCATCTATACAACTTCTAAAATGCCTCTCAAAGAAGTTATATATATTGCCTCTCATTCTGATAACTTGGTGCTCTGTTATTTACAGGACTTACTAAACTTTGATGACCCATTGAATGTAGAAGCTGCTGAACATTATGCTAGAGATAGGGTGAGTATATGACTGTCTACTGTCAGCCTTAACTGGAACATTATGCTAGAGATAGGGTGAGTATATGACTGTCTACCGTCAGCCTTAACTGGAACATTATGCTAGAGATAGGGTGAGTATATGACTGTCTACCGTCAGCCTTAACTGGAACATTATGCTAGAGATAGGGTGAGTATATGACTGTCTACTGTCAGCCTTAACTGGAACATTATGCTAGAGATAGGGTGAGTATATGACTGTCTACCGTCAGCCTTAACTGGAACATTATGCTAGAGATAGGGTGAGTATATGACTGTCTACCGCCAGCCTTAACTGGAACATTATGCTAGAGATAGGGTGAGTATATGACTGTCTACCGTCAGCCTTAACTGGAACATTATGCTAGAGATAGGGTGAGTATATGACTGTCTATCGTCAGCCTTAACTGGAACATTATGCTAGAGATAGGGTGAGTATATGACTGTCTACCGTCAGCCTTAACTGGAACATTATGCTAGAGATAGGGTGAGTATATGACTGTCTACCGTCAGCCTTAACTGGAACATTATGCTAGAGATAGGGTGAGTATATGACTGTCTACATCAGCAGCCTTAACTGGAACATTATGCTAGAGATAGGGTGAGTATATGACTGTCTACCGTCAGCCTTAACTGGAACATTATGCTAGAGATAGGGTGAGTATATGACTGTCTACCATCAGCCTTAACTGGAACATTATGCTAGAGATAGGGTGAGTATATGACTGTCTATTGTCAGCCTTAACTGGAACATTATGCTAGAGATAGGGTGAGTATATGACTGTCTACCGTCAGCCTTAACTGGAACATTATGCTAGAGATATAGGGTGAGTATATGACTGTCTACCGTCAGCCTTAACTGGAACATTATGCTAGAGATAGGGTGAGTATATGACTGTCTACCATCAGCCTTAACTGGAACATTATGCTAGAGATAGGGTGAGTATATGACTGTCTATTGTCAGCCTTAACTGGAACATTATGCTAGAGATAGGGTGAGTATATGACTGTCTACCGTCAGCCTTAACTGGAACATTATGCTAGAGATAGGGTGAGTATATGACTGTCTACCGTCAGCCTTAACTGGAACAAGAAAGGGTGAGTATATGACTGTCTACCGTCAGCCTTAACTGGAACATTATGCTAGAGATAGGGTGAGTATATGACTGTCTACCATCAGCCTTAACTGGAACATTATGCTAGAGATAGGGTGAGTATATGACTGTCTATTGTCAGCCTTAACTGGAACATTATGCTAGAGATAGGGTGAGTATATGACTGTCTACCGTCAGCCTTAACTGGAACATTATGCTAGAGATAGGGTGAGTATATGACTGTCTACCGTCAGCCTTAACTGGAACAAGAAAGGGTGAGTATATGACTGTCTACCGTCAGCCTTAACTGGAACATTATGCTAGAGATAGGGTGAGTATATGACTGTCTACCATCAGCCTTAACTGGAACATTATGCTAGAGATAGGGTGAGTATATGACTGTCTATTGTCAGCCTTAACTGGAACATTATGCTAGAGATAGGGTGAGTATATGACTGTCTACCATCAGCCTTAACTGGAACATTATGCTAGAGATAGGGTGAATATATGACTGTCTATTGTCAGCCTTAACTGGAACATTATGCTAGAGATAGGGTGAGTATATGACTGTCTACCATCAGCCTTAACTGGAACATTATGCTAGAGATAAGGTGAGTATATGACTGTCTACCGTCAGCCTTAACTGGAACATTATGCTAGAGATAAGGTGAGTATATGACTGTCTACCGTCAGCCTTAACTGGAACATTATGCTAGAGATCGGGTGAGTATATGACTGTCTACCGTCAGCCTTAACTGGAACATTATGCTAGAGATAAGGTGAGTATGTGACTGTCTATTGTCAGCCTTAACTGGAACATTATGCTAGAGATAGGGTGAGTATATGACTGTCTACCACAGCCTTAACTGGAACATTATGCTAGAGATCGGTGAGTATATGACTGTCTACCGTCAGCCTTAACTGGAACATTATGCTAGAGATAAGGTGAGTATGTGACTGTCTATTGTCAGCCTTAACTGGAACATTATGCTAGAGATAGGGTGAGTATATGACTGTCTACCGTCAGCTTTAACTGGAACATTATGCTAGAGATAAGGTGAGTATATGACTGTCTACCGTCAGCCTTAACTGGAACATTATGCTAGAGATAGGGTGAGTATATGACTGTCTATTGTCAGCCTTAACTGGAACATTATGCTAGAGATCGGGTGAGTATATGACTGTCTACCGTCAGCCTTAACTGGAACATTATGCTAGAGATCGGGTGAGTATATGACTGTCTACCGTCAGCCTTAACTGGAACATTATGCAAGAGATAGGGTGAGTATATGACTGTCTACTTTCAGCTGCACTATAACTTCAAGGTACTGACTTGCAGTTTATGGTAGCTGACCTATTCATAGCTAACAGCAACATTGATGTGGGCATGGTTCTGTGTGTGCACATCATTACCCCAAGGTATATTATATAATAAACACAGTGGTGATCCATGGTTAACTATATCGATGTTAATGAAGGTAAGTGTTCATGTAAATACCTAACTGTTAACCTGATCAAGTTAACATGCACCATGATTTAATTGTAAGGTACCGTGCACCAATATCCTATTTGTGAACATATAACTGGTATCAATTTATATGTATATTATTACAAAGTGTCATTCATGAAGTCAACATTCACACAAAAGTATTAATATTTCTTTTCACTATCCATCAAACAAAATCAGTCTAATGGCAAATGTATGTGTCCCAGTTGTTTGGTTGTATATCTTTTGTCACATTAGTCATCTAAGTTTTCAGTCCTGTGTCACTTTCCAGGAAGGATTCAAGGCCAAAGTTCGAGACTACATATCCCAGCATGCAAAAAGATAATGACAGACTGTGTAGGTTGTGTCCCAGACTTGACCCGCTTCCAGATACTTTATACTTGCACACAAATACAACACTGATAGAAGTGGTTGTAATCATGGCAACTATAGATCTCCATAGAAAATAGTAACTTAATAAGTTAATGTTGCCATTTGTAATGAAGCATGGCTCTTTGTGGAATCCGGAAGTGAACAGTGAAGAACATCTGCTCTTTGAAATTGACAAGCTGATGGGCTGGCAGCATTTCGTGTGTGACCTTGGGATACAGGTGTATGTGTATGAGATACCGTGACATACACTGCATGAACAGGCAGTGTATATAAAGCCTGTCTCAGTTACAGTGTGGATTTGTTACCTATGTTATATTCATGTGGAAGTGATCACATGGTGGAAACCTACCTTAACTCGATTGTGATGACACTGTTTGGAATTTGAGGACTTGTATAGTTGGTGGCATTAAGCATTAATTTCATAAGAATGGAAAAGCTGTAGCTTATCTGAGTGAATGGAAGAAACTGGATCCCCATCATGACCAGAGGATGTTCTTCCTCATCACTATGCCTGCCAACCATGGTCATCTAAATATAGCTTTTGCAAACTGTGTGTCACCCTTACTTTGTTTGATACCTTTGTCTCTTGTCACCAAGAAATTACTCACTTACACAGTGCAGAATATCATCACACACCTTTGACATCTTCATGGCATGTTTACATTATGGGTAGTTAAGGTTCTGGTTAAACATGGATTTGTAAAGCCACCTTTACCTTTATGATGTCCCTTAGGTTAAGAGCACCACACTCATGCTCATATGTTTCAAAGTAGTATACACCTGCATCACTCTGTGTTTTGTTCCCTCAACAAACTGACATGCCATGAAGAAATGAAATGCACATTAAAGTGCATATGAACACACTCATGTCCTTTTACAAGAGAGAAATATGCTGTACAGATAAGACACCTTGTTGCAGCTTACAATGGTGTTATATGAGATGCATGCTAGTGAACACCGCATTGTTTGGGTAGCAAGTACCATTTGGAAGGAGTTATTGTATCAACTCCCCCTGCTGGCTTCAAACACCTCTCATGTTCTACTGTAGTCTTAAGTTTACTACATTTCAGAATTCATGAATGGTCATATTGATTCTGATATTCTCCCTTTCTTTAAAAAGGTGTTTTCTTATTATACCATTTTGACAGATTTACACGAGATATCTGTTAGGGGGGACAAACTCTACACATTTGACATCTTAATCTGATCATTTTACATTATTAGCCCTTGTAACAGACTTGTTCACTTATCCCACTGTCTCTGACCACGACAGCTGAACCAACACAAGGAGCTGCTGCTAGTGTTGGTATTTGATGTGACTCACGCCTGTGACTGTCATCTGAACCAACACAAGGAGCTGCTGCTAGTGTTGGTATTTGATGTGACTCACGCCTGTGACTGTCAGCACAACCAACACAAGGAGCTGCTGCTAGTGTTGGTATTTGATGTGACTCACACTTGTGAGTGTCATCTGAACCAACACAAGGAGCTGCTGCTAGTGTTGGTATTTGATGTGACTCACGCCTGTGACTGTCAGCACAACCAACACAAGGAGCTGCTGCTAGTGTTGGTATTTGATGTGACACACTTGTGAGTGTCAGCTGAACCAACACAAGGAGCTGCTGCTAGTGTTGGTATTTGATGTGACTCACACTTGTGAGTGTCAGCTTAACAAACACAAGGAGCTGCTTGTCACTTGATGTGACTCGCCATACTTCCTACTACATGTCTTATAACAAAAGTTAGGTGGTACACATGCCAGTGTTAGTGTTGAAGAGAACCTGCCCCATACTACAGTCAATACATTCTATAGATTTGAGTTAAACTGCTGTATTGAAGGGAAATATAAAGATTCACTGTCTTATAAACTAGTGTTGCTGATGCTTCCTTGATTTCATCATGTGCTAACCGGGTCCTTGTTCGTTATCAATCTTGTCTGAACAGATCACAATCATATGTCTGGGGACCTTAGTATTGAACAGCAATGAACTGCAGTCAGATTAACAATTAACCAAACACAGCAGCAAGAGCTAGGCCTAGTTGACACCCCAGGGGGAGATGTCTGTAGCAGCCAGGGTCTAGATATTTGAAGCTCTCTTAGAGCTAAGATAGTTGTAAGTTAATGTTAATGTATGGCACTTACGACTATCTTAGCTCTAAGAGAACTTCGAAAATCTAGGCCCTGAGCTGGGCCTAGTTGAGCCCTGAGCTGGGCCTAGTTGACACCTCAGTGGAACATGTCTGTAGCTGCAAGAGCTAGGCCTAGATGACACCCCAGGAGATGTCTGTAGCGGCAAGAGCTAGGCCTACTTGGCAACTCAGGGGGAGATGTCTGTAGCTTCAGGAGCTAGGCCTAGATGTCACCCCAGGGGGAGATGCCTGTACTGGCAAACGTTAGGCCTAGTTGACACCCCAGGGAGAGATGTCTGTAGCGGCAAGAGCTAGGCCTAGATGACACCCCAGGGGGAGATGTCTGTAGCTGCAAGAGCTAGGCCTAGTTGACAGCCCAGTGGGAGATGTCTGTAGCTGCAAGAGCTGGGCCTAGTTGACACCCCAGGAGATGTCTGTAGTGGCAATAGCTAGGCCTAGTTGACACCCCAGTGGGAGATGTCTGTAGCGGCAAGAGCTAGGCCTAGTTGACACCCCAGTGGGAATGTCTGTAGCGGCAAGAGCTGGGCCTAGTTGACACCCCAGTGGGAGATGTCTGTAGCGGCAAGAGCTAGGCCTAGTTGACACCACAGTGGGAGATGTCTGTAGCAGCAAGAGCTGGGCCTAGTTGACACCACAGTTGGAGATGTCTGTAGCGGCAAGAGCTAGGCCTAGTTGACACCCCAGTGGGAGATGTCTGTAGTGGAAAGAGCTAGGCCTAGTTGACACCACAGTGGGAGATGTCTGTAGTGGCAAGAGCTGGGCCTAATTGACACCACAGTGGGAGATGTCTGTAGTGGCAAGAGCTAGGCCTAGTTGACATCCCAGTGGGAGATGTCTGTAGCGGCAAGAGCTGGGCCTAGTTGACACCCCAGTGGGAGATGTCTGTAGCGGCAAGAGCTAGGCCTAGTTGACACCCCAGTGGGAGATGTCTGTAGTGGCAAGAGCTGGGCCTAGTTGACACCCCAGTGGGAGATGTCTGTAGTGGCAAGAGCTGGGCCTAGTTGACACCCCAGTGGGAGATGTCTGTAGTGGCAAGAGCTAGGCCTAGTTGACACCCCAGTGGGAGATGTCTGTAGTGGCAAGAGCTGGGCCTAGTTGACACCCCAGTGGGAGATGTCTGTAGTGGCAAGAGCTGGGCCTAGTTGACACCCTAGTGGGAGATGTCTGTAGTGGCAAGAGCTGGGCCTAGTTGACATCCCAGTGGGAGATGTCTGTAGTGGCAAGAGCTGGGCCTAGTTGACACCCCAGTGGGAGATGTCTGTAGTGGCAAGAGCTGGGCCTAGTTGACATCCCAGTGGGAGATGTCTGTAGTGGCAAGAGCTGGGCCTAGTTGACACCCCAGTGGGAATGTCTGTAGCGGCAAGAGCTGGGCCTAGTTGACACCCAAGTGGGAGATGTCTGTAGCGGCAAGAGCTAGGCCAAGTTGACACCACAGTGGGAGATGTCTGTAGCAGCAAGAGCTGGGCCTAGTTGACACCCCAGTGGGAGATGTCTGTAGCGGCAAGAGCTAGGCCTAGTTGACACCCCAGTGGGAGATGTCTGTAGCGGAAAGAGCTAGGCCTAGTTGACACCACAGTGGGAGATGTCTGTAGTGGCAAGAGCTGGGCCTAGTTGACACCACAGTGGGAAATGTCTGTAGTGGCAAGAGCTAGGCCTAGTTGACATCCCAGTGGGAGATGTCTGTCTGGGCCTAGTGGTTGACACCCCAGTGGGAGATGTCTGTAGTGGCAAGAGCTGGGCCTAGTTGACACCCCAGTGGGAGATGTCTGTAGTGGCAAGAGCTGGGGCCTAGTTGACACCCCAGTGGGAGATGTCTGTAGTGGCAAGAGCTGGGCCTAGTTGACACCCCAGTGGGAGATGTCTGTAGTGGCAAGAGCTGGGCCTAGTTGACACCCCAGTGGGAGATGTCTGTAGTGGCAAGAGCTGGGCCTAGTTGACATCCCAGTGGGAGATGTCTGTAGTGGCAAGAGCTGGGCCTAGTTGACACCCCAGTGGGAGATGTCTGTAGTGGCAAGAGCTGGGCCTAGTTGACATCCCAGTGGGAGATGTCTGTAGTGGCAAGAGCTGGGCCTAGTTGACACCCAAGTGGGAATGTCTGTAGCGCAAGAGCTGGGCCTAGCTGACACCCAAGTGGGAGATGTCTGTAGCAAGCAAGAGCTAGGCCAAGTTGACACCACAGTGGGAGATGTCTGTAGCAGCAAGAGCTGGGCCTAGTTGACACCCCAGTGGGAGATGTCTGTAGCGGCAAGAGCTAGGCCTAGTTGACACCCCAGTGGGAGATGTCTGTAGCGGAAAGAGCTAGGCCTAGTTGACACCACAGTGGGAGATGTCTGTAGTGGCAAGAGCTGGGCCTAGTTGACACCACAGTGGGAAATGTCTGTAGTGGCAAGAGCTAGGCCTAGTTGACATCCCAGTGGGAGATGTCTGTAGTGGCAAGAGCTGGGCCTAGTTGACACCCCAGTGGGAGATGTCTGTAGCGGCAAGAGCTAGGCCTAGTTGACACCCCAGTGGGAGATGTCTGTAGTGGCAAGAGCTGGGCCTAGTTGACACCCCAGTGGGAGATGTCTGTAGTGGCAAGAGCTGGGCCTAGTTGACACCCCAGTGGGAGATGTCTGTAGCGGCAAGAGCTAGGCCTAGTTGACACCCCAGTGGGAGATGTCTGTAGCGGCAAGAGCTGGGCCTAGTTGACACCCCAGTGGGAGATGTCTGTAGTGGCAAGAGCTGGGCCTAGTTGACACCACAGTGGGAGATGTCTGTAGCAGCAAGAGCTAGGCCTAGTTGACATCCCAGTGGGAGATGTCTGTAGTGGCAAGAGCTGGGCCTAGTTGACACCACAGTGGGAGATGTCTGTAGCGGCAAGAGCTGGGCCTAGTTGACACCCCAGTGGGAGATGTCTGTAGCGGCAAGAGCTAGGCCTAGTTGACACCCCAGTGGGAGATGTCTGTAGCGGCAAGAGCTGGGCCTAGTTGACACCCCAGTGGGAGATGTCTGAATGAGGAACATGTTTTACAAAGATTTACATGTGGAATGTTCTGCTGAGTTGTTGTCATTTCTTTCCAGTATTTGTAATTTATTCAGAACTGTTAGATCTGATAAACATGCAGAAATCAGTGTTCAAAATATACATTCATCATTTTCATACACTTAGGGATGAGCTGCATCTAAGTCTGCAAAGCTTTTCCATTCAAATACCTGTGGAAAAGATTTTAATATGTTTATGCCTAACGGTGTTACATGATTCACCTTAATGAAAACTGAAAGAATGATAGGACATTCTTGGCTTCTTGCTATTTTAGGGGGAATATGGGTGGCACAGTTGTCTGTGCAGAGTTGTGTCCCTTTGGCACATCGAAAACATGCTTGCGGTTTTGAATCCTGATTTGCTCCAAATATGTCCACACCAGAACTGTGCTTCTCCATTTCACTAGAGTGGTGGAAATCTTGAGACATGCATGAATTCCAGCTTTCCTTTCACATTCTAAAGGAATGTTTGCCTCCACAACCCTCAGTTTAACACAATAAAACTTGATTCTCATCTTAAACTATATCTAACCATTAAGATAACTGAAGTTGTTTTATTTAATGATTTATTGTCTTAATAGCATGCAAGTTGATGTTTGGCTAAGGCCATTGTAATTATGTGTAAAAATGTACATGTATGGTTGAACTGATTATTAAATGCTATTACAAGGACATGGTGTATGTTTTCACTACATTCAGTTCATAAAAGACATGAATCTACCCTGCAGTGTCTCCAAGTGGATTTTCTACAGTCACTTACTTCCCACCACCTTGTCAGACTTCCCTTGACTTCCCACCTTGTCTGCCAGTGGATGACAGCAATCACATACAGCTTTCACCTCCTTGTTGACTTCCCCGAACCCTTCCCGCTCTGTCTGCCAATAGGAGCCAACAGTCACATACAGCCAACACCTCCTTGTTGACTTCCCCGAACCCTTCCCGCATTGTCTACCAGAGGTGGCAACGGTTACATGCAGCCATCACCTCCTTGTTGACTTCCTCGAACCCTTCCTGCATTGTCTGCCAGAAGGTGCAAACAGTCACATACAGCTATCACCTCTTTGTTGACTTCCCCGAACCCTTCCTGCATTGTCTGCCAGTGGGAGCCAACAGTCACATACAGCAATCACCTCCTTGTCTTCCCTGAACCCTTCCCGCGTTGTCTGCCAGTAGGAGCCAACAGTCACATACCGCCATCACCTCCTTGTTGTCTTCAGTGAACCCTTCCTGTGTTGTCTGCCAGTAGGAGCCAACAGTCACATACAGCCAACACCTCCTTGTTGACTTCCCCGAACCCTTCCTGCATTGTCTGCCAGAGGTGGCAACAGTTACATACAGCCATCACCTCCTTGTTGACTTCCTCGAACCCTTCCTGCATTGTCTGCCAGAAGGTGCAAACAGTCACATACAGCTATCACCTCTTTGTTGACTTCCCCGAACCCTTCCTGCATTGTCTGCCAGTGGGAGCCAACAGTTACATATAGCCAACACCTCCTTGTTGTCTTCCCTGAATCCTTCCCGCGTTGTCTGCCAGTAGGAGCCAACAGTCACATAAAGCCAACACGTCCTCCTTGTCTTCAGTGAACCCTTCCTGCATTGTCTGCCAGTAGGTGCCAACAGTCACAATCACATACAGTTAAGTTACAAATTTAGCACTCAGCACTATTCCAGCTATTTAGCGACGGTCTTTAATCGCGACTGGACCTGACAATCCACTGATTAACAGCACGAGCATCGACCCACGCAATTTGGACGCGATGACATGTGTCAAACAAGTCAGCCAGCCTGACCACACGATCCCGTTAGTCGCCTCTTACGACAAGCATGGGTTACTTAAGATCAATTCTAACCCAGATCTTCACTGGTCTGCAGCAGGAGAGTAATTGAACCAACTTTTTTGGTTTTAGCCACTCATTGAGCCATATTTGCCTGTGGAACTAACATTAGTCAGTACATCACCGTCACATTTTTAGCATGAGTTATTGAGTCATCTCCTCCTGTGTTAAGAGCTGGTGTCGTTGAGCCACTTCTCGCACGCGAGATTTTTCATGAGTTGCTACTACGAGCATGTCCTGCAGTGTTACTATAATCGATGGACAGCATACAGTGTGATCATTTAGTTACCTATGGATCCGTATTATGTATGTCCTATGAATAATAGCATCTTCCTCTGGCTTAAATATGTCATAGAATTATTGGGAGAAGGGATGTGACGACAATTCGAGTACTTGGATCACGGGTTGGGTTGAGATGTCTTGACTTAAATGATAAATTGTAAAAATATAGTCTTATTTAATGCGTGTCACTTATCGAAGGGTTGGAATTACAAACAAGCCTTTATATCCGAACGTAGATTTCATTGCTTACCTCGTTGACTGTGGTGCGGTTTTTACGTTTTAATAAGTGCTTTAATAAGTTGTTCGAGTCTAGTATATTTCCACGCAGTTGGGCAATGTCAGTTAGGGGGATTATACAAACCCTGATAATTACAGAGGTATTTCCCTCATAAGTACTTTTGGCAAAGTTTTTAATACTGTTCTAAATAATCGACTATCAAAATGGGCAAATATGAAACATGTTATTCCAGAATTGCTAGCAGGTTTCAGGAAAAAATACTCAACGTTCGTGTTTCAGGCTGATAATCAACTCCGAACAAGTGACACGTAATTCTAACGTTTTGAAGAGTTCATCCATGGCATCACAGCCAAGTGAAAGTTGTTTATTGTATTTCAGGCCTCCGGCCCATATACATTAGAATTGCAGCTGGCGGAGGTTACACCAGATATTCTTACCGAGTCACTTCTCAGTTCGATACTTAAAAGCAGTGTCATTATGTAGCATTGACATAATTTCCAACTGTGATATAGATATGTCTTTGTCACAGACAAAACTCAATGTCTGCTTTATTGACACCAAGGTTCTTTTATGCAACGAGTAGATTATTTGCTATTTGTTTTGATTAGACTACTCCCGTTCACGACCTTATAATCCGGACAACCCGCTTCCAAGCTGCGCGAACCTATTCACTGCGCATGCGCTATGAGCGCAGCCCAGCGCAGCTCAGCACAGCTGTTGAAACCACTTTTCACCCCAAGCTGGGGTGAATTTAGTGAATCGTTTGAACTCCGATTTCGCGGGGTTTATTTCGTCGCGTCATTTTTCATCGCGTACTTTATAAGTTGAATTTGCATTTTTGATGTTTTGTATCTGTAAGTACACACCGAAAGGTGTCAGAATCTGCAAAGTTGCATGTGACCTTTAAGGGTTGACTTTGTTACAATTTTGTTTTTGACATAACATATTTACCTTACAACAGTTCAGAACTAATTTGTGAAATCGTCAGATTATATGTTACCGCACGTCGCACGTTTTCGGACAGCAGTGTTTTCTCTCGCCATAACGATGCCTATGCGTTTAAGATAAACTTGTCTTTGATAAGTTGGTGAAATGTTTTACAGTTGTTCATGCAATAATCGAGAAAACAACGAATGTTATTAAGCATCCGAAATCCCATAACACGAGGATATGTAATCACAAAATATCAGCAAATCTGTTGCGTGTTGATTCCCAAGTTGAAACTAAAACGTTAACACGGAATCAGGGTGTGAAAGAACTAGCTGTGAAACCGGCTAACAACAGGGC